GATACTTTTTGACGCCATAGCTAGCAAGCTCAAATCAATGCGACGGGATACGAAAATCACACAAAATGAATCATAATCAAAAGCTCTCCACAACAGTACCAACAGTTCAAAGAAATGCAACCAAAAGTAACGGATCGAAAATGACGGTGAAGCTCAAACTACCTTCAAACTCAGGTAAATGATGAAACCGAAACTCTCTTCTTCTTTCTTCTTCTTTGATTCTGGATGAATTTGTCTCTATTGGAGTGAATTTGGTGGAAGGAAATAGGAGAAGAAAAAGTGAGCGAAAGGTTTCGTAGTGAGGAATTGAAGAAGAAAATTAACAGAGGTTCTTTGGCTTGAAAGCTTGAAAAAACAAATGAGAGGTGGGTCGTATTTATAAGTGAACGAAAATGAAATTTGAGTGAGAATTGGTGAGGGCTGCGTGAAGCTTGCGTTTCATTTTGATGCTTGCCACGTTTTTTCCTTTTCTTTTTGTGTGACTTGTTGTTATACCTTCTCATGTCGTTTTGCTATTTTGGAATGTTTTGGTGATGTGGCTGAGTGTCGTTTTATCCACTTCATTTACAGCTTGTATTATGAGATGACGTGGATTATTTGTAGCTTGGAAATGTTATCAGAACGTCCTGCTCATGAGCTTTTGGTCGAACATGTGTGTACATCAATTGAAAAGCATTCTCTAGTAGAAGCTCATATTTAGTAGTCCATGAAGATGTCTATCTGATGCATTTTTACGGATGAACCAGAAAAGAAAGGTGAAAAACTACTAGCAGATAATCCTCCATGTTTTGCAAGTAAAGCTCCACATCCAGGTCCAACATTATTATGCCCACCTCCATTATCATACTGCTGAATAATTTATTAAAGACTACTGTTAAAGGGAATCACAAGCTTGAAGCGGTTCTGATGCAAAGTCGTTCTTCCATTGGTCATCAATTGAAGTCTTGGAAATGGATGGAGAAAGTTGGAATGCATTCATCAGTAGTTCTGCTACGACTTGACATGGGACGTTAGCCTGACATTGTGACTTAAAGGCTTGGCTTGAGCTTCATAGTTTATGGCTTGGCACATGAAGATTCGATTCGCATAAGAGATGACCAGCTTCAACTGCGCAGTGTTGACAAAATGGCTTACGGATTCTAGTCCTGAAGAACTGACCATACTTACAGTTGTTTCATCCATCCGAAGACATCATTCCACATTAGAGCCAGGTGAACGAATAAGCAAGCTGCTCTGTTCTGGTTGTAAACCCTGAACTTGTTGAGGTTGATGTTGCAAAGCTACATCTTTGGGAAAATGTTGTTCCTGCTCATGTTGCTGCGAATGATATTGTTCTGGTAGTTGGCATGACTGTTTGAGATAGGTTTGGTTGCAAAGAAGATTGTTTTTTAAGAGACAACGGCCAATGCTGCTTCCTTCATGATATCAAACTCAGCATTTTGAAGCAAGGTGACCAAAGGAGGAATTATATTGGCATCAATTACAGCCTGTATCTATTGTGTATTCCCAGCTGTGATATTGGATAATGTCCAACATAGTTTTTTCTTGATGCTTTTTTTATAAGTATTAGCCAGGAGATTCATAAGACGGGGAAGAACCTGATGCTCGATGATGACCTGTGTCTGCATGTCATCTCCAGTGACAATATTTCCAACTGTATGGAGAGTAGGAATAAGCACAGAAGGAGCTGGGTGTTGAAGAAGCTCAACAAGCCGGCTACAAAGACCAACTTCAATTACACCTTGAATTTTATCATTTGTGCCATCAGAAAGATATGAAAGTGCCCAACAGGCATCAGTCAAGACTTCTTCATCATTAGAATGGATGAGACTGGCAAGTGCAGGAAGCGCAGGCTTAATCTGATCAAAACTAGGTTGTGGCTTCCGCCGACAAAAGTTTGAGAGTGTCTAAGTAGGGTTTCTGAGCATGGAAAGTTTGGCATGAATGTTGAGAGAGTGAGAGCTGTTGTCTCATTTGCTATGAGTCAAACAAAATTGCTGCTATTTGAGACCCATAATTATGTGCATGAGAAGGAAAGTTATCCTGGGATCAATTTCTTCAAAATACCGTAGCGCCGCCATGGATGCGTCTTTGCAACGAAGTCTAAGTCTCTGCAATATGCAAATCAGATTCAACAGCAAGAGGCAATATTTGAGAAAACACGTTGACACTTGCAACTGAAGTAGGAATTGGCTTAGTCTGGCGTGAGCATGCTGATCAATATAATCAAGCCTATTTACTTGCTCCAATGAATTGCTAAGAGGCAAACTGGAGAATTAGTGATAGTAGCAATCTCTCTCGAAAACATGGAAAATGTTATGCGGAATGATGCAATTTATCTTCCTCTGCAAAATGACATATCATCCCAAATTCTGTTTCACTTTCGCTTCGTGTCTCATCCCATTCAACTTGTTTCTTGATGGAATCTCTCATACTAGATACATCCAGAAGTAAAAAGCAGTGATTCATTATCCAATCCAAAGCTATTGTTAGCTCCTCCGCAAACTTATCATGATCAACCTTGCCATCAAGCTGCATTTTATTCTTACAGTTATTACATGTCATAACAGAATCTTCATCTCCAGTCTTATCAACGATGAAAGCCTGTACTCCCACATTAACTTTGTCCACTGGAAAATTTTGCTTAGAATCTTTAGGTCTCAATGAGAGCCTCAACGGTGATCGCCGAATAGTTTACGGCATTCCTCATTCCATCAGCAGTTGCGGTAGTAGTAAGGATTTCAACTCAGTAATGCGTGCATGGGGAGCTCGAGACTTGAGCTGCTCGATTGCCTGCATTCCAACATGCAGTACAAGGGAGTTGATTAATGGCACATTGTAACGAGTACTGGCGAAGGCAACTTCATTTACAACCAATTGCTTCCATTCTTCTGTCATACAGGCCATGGTTCTGCCATCTATAATATCCATACACAAAATTTCCTCATCCACAACAACAACAATATTTGCTGATTTTGCTCTCCCACTCACCTCAGACGAAGGTTGTTGACTTGAGCTAAGTTCAGAAAACGCATCATCCGCTTTGGAAAATACGGACCCCAACTGTAAGCTTTCTGTGACAAGTACATTTAGTTTTTGATGAAAGCCTCTTTCATTGGTTTCTTTCTTGATTTTATTGGATGTGTTGGTCAAAGTCATAGGAGTGCCGTAACCAATTGCAACACCTGCAACCAGCATAACAGACTACTACCATTTTAAAAATAATGAGCAAGAGGCAAGTACGCCAAGTACACGTCCTTACTACCCAGATTTGGAATCACTGTCATAACAGCTGCTGTAGTGGCTACAATGTTCCCGTGCATAATCATGACACTCTTTGGCAGACCTGTACTACCACTTGTATACATGACAACTGCAACACATTCTTGGAAGGCAAGCTTGGTTGATGGCGTTGGCTTGCACGGCTGCTCACGACCATTAGTTAAAAAAATAATCAGTATTTAGAATAACTGCTCTAACAAACTCCCCAAATCAACGTCCTAATGAATTTGCTGAAGTCAACATACTCAGAAAATCAAGTGCAAAAGGCAGTTCACTGTGGTGCTTGCACAGCTGACGAAAATAAATTCCATGTCTCCCAGGAGTCAACCAAAGGTGGCTGAGTTTGAATCTATTGGCGTGACATCATCATCATGCAGAACCAAGGGAATCCTAAGCCAAGCTGCATATTACTCAGGTCCTGTAAGATTTGATTCACACACCGTGCATAATTAGCACAAGTGGATCCTTTAGGGGTAAAAAAGCAGGCAACACAAGGCTCACTCTCAAGATAGCATCCATCGAATTCCACTAAGCCACTCAAAGTATTATATGCGAGAGTTTTGATGGTCATCTCTAAAACAGAACCTATAGCAAGCTGTAACCCTTCAATTTCCAAGTTTTTGAGCTATTAGCTTTCTTTGTTGTGTAAACATCACCTTGGAATTGTTGTAACTTGAACGATGTAATAGCCATCTTGGCCCAGTTAGATATAAAGGCATAAATGATAGTCTCGTATAATACTTCATCATACAACCGGTCCCCAACACTTTGCAAATTAGCAACATTTGGCATCAGAATGAACTCTTCAATGTCACTAAACCTATCAATCTCTGCATATGCATAAATGAGCTCGCCATCAACCTTTGGTTCTTTTGCCATAATTCCCCGAATCTCCTCAATCATGCTTTAGAATCACTGGGAAATAGCACACTTGAATGAACACTTTGTACTTGCATTCCAAAACAAACATCTTGATTGAACATCCACCAAACTTGACTTGTACAGACAAAACTCTGAATTTTCAATTAAAATTGGGATAAAACTTCTCATAAAACACTGCTCGACAAACTGATGATTCTCCATAAGACCACTTGACCTTGAACAATCATCTCTTGAGAAAATAGACCACTGATACATTTACTTGCAAATGAAGTAATCTCTTGATAGTTTGACCAAGATGAGGTCAAACTTCCATCTGATTTAGGCTTAAATGAATATCCTTGACATCAATCTCCTTGCAAAAACCTAAACACACAAAGAAGAAGAAACAAGCAAAATATTGCAAAATATTTTTGGTATTTTGTTTAGAGGTTAGTAAACATAAACAACAAAAAGCAAGTAAGAAACAAATAAGGGTGAGAGAACCAAAAAGTAAGATCTTGTTTGTGTATGTAATGATGTAAATGAAATGTGGGATCTTAGGGGTAAAAATTAGGGTATTACACCAACTCAACACTTAGTAAAATAAATGCCAATTTTAATTAATATCAATTGTAGTACCTTTTGATGAGCAGGAGCATAGGTTGATGTCGATGATCGCGGTGTTGGAATATTATCATTGTGCAAGGCTTCTCTCATCTTATCGTTTACTTCCTCTTCACTTAAATGTGGATTTTGTTGCATATACATGTTTTTCAAAAGTGCCTCCATTGCTCCCATCTTTTGTGTCATTGACAGAAATTTTACCATCATATTGCATTTTTATTAAAGAAATTTCTTCATTTTTTTTCCAACAATGATGGTGTAACAGTTCTTCCATAACATCTCACTCTACCGGGTTTTTCTTTTCCAAGCAGTGATTGAAATGTTTGTGTTCCAGTTTCAGTTGAAGTTTTAATAGATTCTTGAAGTTTATCCTAATATATCAAACTATCAATTTTGAACAAAATTAAAAACTACATGTGCAATTAAAATGGATATAATTTAACTTACAATCACAAATTGGGTTTCCTCATCCACTTGTTTTCCCTTGCGACTTTTTCGAGTTTCAATAAACATCTCAGCTTGAGTGACTTCTTGTACATCCTTGTTTTCCCGCTACATTATTATTCATATATTAAAAATACAAAATATTAGTTAATAAGAGATTAAAAAAACACATTATTCTATTGAGAATCACGCACAAATACCATACCATTTTTGCACAAATTCTAGCAAAATTTGTCGGTCCTACACGAAGTATAAACTTTTGCTTGCTCCTATTAACTGCATTCTTTTGGATAATATCCTATAATAATAAAAAAAATAAAAATTGGGTTGTGAGCCAAAAATGACCACATGTATCTCTCCCTCACCAACAACATATATCTCATCACAAACTTAGTTTTTGTAGTAGTTGTTATTGCTAAAATCATTTTCCTGCAGCATATTTTGAATCTGAACATTCAACTCATCATCATCACGTGTGCTTGATTCGCAGCTACTCAAAACTAACATTAATGCCACAAACAAAGCACAGTTCCAGGATTTTGCACAATATTAATGTGAGAAAGGATTTTATTGATATAGGTGAAATGAGAGAGGATTTTATGTGGCTGGTTGTTGGAGTTGGTGTAGTTATATGTGGAAGTTGGAATGGTTCATTCCGTAAAGTTGGTAAGTCTGTCTAGTGCACAGAGATAATAAACTTTGAAAATGGGAAAGACAAAAATGCTAAAAGCATCTCTTAATACCATTCAATTCAAACACTTTAAAAAAATATATTAGTAAATATGTTTCCTTGAAACAAAGAATAATATTATTAGTGAGTGCATGAGATGATACTGACTTGGATTATGGCAACGAGGCAGTGTCATGATAGCCCTTAAGTGTATCAAAATTACTTCTAAACCTTAATCCGTAGTTTGTAATTATGACACATTCAGATACTACATGAGTAATTACTGAGCAAAATAAAGTGAAAGCATAATAACATTCAACCAATAAGATATAGAATTTGCTAGAGCAACACCTCTGCCTCCAAGTCCAGATTTGAAAACCAAAATCCAAAACAAAAGAGCATGTACTAAAGTTATGACAGCAGAGATAAATAACTTACTTGAATATGAGTATCTTTCCAATATACTAACAATTTCTTGAAATGAACTTCAGATATGCTCTTTGGACGGTGTTTTAATCTATCCTTCATATTAGAGTACTTTAGAAAATGATCTTTCTTGATAGAGTATTTGTGGCGTCTCCAAGCATCGTTTATTCGAGCATACACTGCTTTTTTTCTTCTTCAGAAATGTTGAACTTCGTCTGCAAGAATAAAACAATGTTTGTCATCAATTATAGATACTTGGTCATTAAAAAATTATGAAATTTTACTTCTCATACATTAATATATTTCCAAATATGATAATTATGACGCTTAGGATCTGTTTCATCTTTAAGCAACTCTTTGAAATTTGTATAGATCAATGGACAAAAATTTGCATTCCTTGCTATAGTTCCGAGGAAATAGCCTAAGCCAGAAACAGTTTGGTCATCAGGTCCAATTGGCTCTCCAAAGTCATCTAGAGTAACTTCTTGACGGTCTTTTACATCTCTTGCATATATTTTTAAACAACGCATTGGTCCCTGTGTTCTTTTCTTAGTTATCCCTGTTTTGACATCAAATAATATAATGTAAGATAAATTATCAAATACACACACATATGAGTAATAAAATAAATTAATAATAAACTATTTTCTTGGTCTTAAATAAAATGAAACATCACCTTTTTTTCTGCGTCTCCCTCATATTCCACATTTTCTTCTTGTTCTTGTTCTTCTAAAACAATGTTTTCCTCATCTTCAATTAAATTTTCCATCTCCTTCTCAACATCTCTTCCATTTTTTTCAAGAAAGTCACCAATTAACATTGATTGGCACAAAGGACTTCTTTTTGTCTTCTTGCAAGCACTTTGTTGCCTTGCCATTGATTCCTCTTCAACCACTACCATTTTCTTTTGTTGATCTTTTGCCCTTGAAATGTCATTTCCAAACATTTTCTTTTTTTGTTGTTGATTCTTATTGTTACTTTCATGTTTTTCCCTTGACTCATCTTCGACAACTATTCTCTTAGATTGTTCCTTTGACCTTGAAATGTCATTTTTAAGAGATTTGTTTTCTGCAATTTGTTGTCTTTCCAATGGTCCATCTCCAATTACCGTCTTTTTCATGGATTGCCTATTTGGAACCTGAATATGCATAGGCGTAGATCTTCTAACTTGAGACAAAGACTGTCCTTATGAATTTTGGATTTTAGAAACTAAAGGTTTATTCCTTTTAGAAATCAAAGATTGATCTTTTGGATCTTGAATCTTCAATCCTTTGTTTGTTTTTAAAGATACTTCCCTCTCTATACTTTTTTTCAGCACGAGTGTTAGGTAATGTAGTCCTACTTGCATTATCTGAAACATTTTTCTTTGGCTCAGGCTCTTTGTTGGAAGTTGCTGCAAACATAGATAACTTGAATTGTGGAGTAGTTAATGTCTATTTTTTTTTGTTCCTAAGAGCTTCAACTTCTGTTTCAACTTCTGATATAGGTGCATATATTTTTCCATGTTTGGTCTTTCTTTCCTCCATTTTGATGCTGAAATTTCTTGCCAATTCAAAACTTGATTTGACCAGTGGTAGCTCAAAACTGGAAGCACCCCTCTGACCTTTCACATGACACTTCATATTTTTCTTGTTTTCTTCCTTGTTCATTTGTCCTATAAAATATTTAAACATAAAAAATATTTAGAGATAGACAAAAATGGATAAGAGAAGTCACATTGATACAAAACAATAAGCATTTTACCATAAAATTTATCATATATATGAAATCATATATATATATATATATATATATATATATATATATATATATATATATATATATATATATATATATATATATATATATATATATATATATATATATATATATATATATATATATATATATATATATATATATATATATATATATATATATATATATGAAAAAACTTACTGGTTAAGAAATTGTCTATCTAGAAATCATATATATGAAAAAATTTACTTCCAAATTTTCACATTGATGCAAAATAGTAAATAAAATGAATGACTTATACCTCATCACCCTACTAGTCCAACAAAGTATTGTCAAAATCAGAATCATCTTCATATCTTGCTTCTTCCATAAAAGATGGAGGCTTATCAACAATTATTCCAGGTATATCTTTTCTAACCCAATTAATTTCACCATCGAAAGGGTCACTTTGATAAGATTCTTGGACCATTGAATCTGATAGGTCACCCATACTATATAAATCTCTAGGATCTGTTTTCATGACATACTGCCTAGTTTCATCAAGTGGATCTTGGATATAGAAACATTGATGCACTTGAGATGGTAGAACAAAAGGATCATTTTGGTAACATTTTTTGTTGAAATATACACAAGTAAGCCCATATTTGTCTTCTCCTGCCTCGAACCAATCACATTCAAACAAAACAAATTTGAATTGAGAGTAATAGTCTAACTCAATTATATCTCTAATTGCTCCATAATAAGTTACATCTTTCATCCTAGGATTTTCATCCTTAGAGCTTGCAAAACTTAGAGTCAATGAAACCAAAGTTACACCTGAATTTTGAGTTTTGCGTATTGCATCTCGTTTCATAGTATGGAATCTATATCCATTGATGAGGTAGCCTGAAAACCTCTTTGCTGTATCACATGGACCTCTAGAGAAATCTTTCAGCTGAATTGATACATCATCTTTCAAGGCTCAAGTTTTAAACCATTCACTAAAATCGTGACTTTGGGTTTTGGCCTTGACCCAACTCCGTCCTTTAGTTTGACTATTGACAATATCATCATGCTCCCTACAAATATAACTTATCATCTATTAGAAAATAACACTAATGTGTGTGTGTGTGTGTGTGTGTGTGTGTGTGTGTGTGTGTGTGTGTTTTATAAATGAACTTAATATATTATGGTACCTGATGAATGTGTTAACCTCATCACAATTGAACAAAAGGTATCGGTGGGCTTGGGATTTTGTAGTTGAATCTAGAAAAAATGGTTTACTATTTTTCTTTCCACATAAGGAACAACCAATACATGAAAAGTAATCGCTTAAATCCACATCACACAAGTCACTATTGTCATAATTTCGACGCTTTCTATTTAACCTTGTGTCTACATTGTCATGCAAGTATCTTGAGCAAAAAGTCAAAGCTTCTTCAGCCAAATATGCCTCAGCAATAGATCCTTCAGGATGAGCTCTATTACGAACATAACTTTTAAGTTTGCATAAGTTTCTTTCAGTAGGATACATCCAACGAAATTGAACTGGACCGCCCAATCTAACTCCATTTACCAAATGAATAGGTAAGTGAACCATTATATCAAAAAAAACTTGGAGGAAAAATCATCTCCAGTTGACAGAGGATATCTGCAATCTCATCTTCTAAGAAATTCAAATCTTGCTCTCGGATAACTTTTTTTTACACAAAGAGCGGAAAAATGACCTTAAGCGAATTAGAGGTTCAACCACTGCATTGGGCATGGCGCCTCTTACTGCTACTTGTAATAAGTAATGTAACATGAAATTTGCGTCATGACTCTTGTAGCCAAACACTTTCTTATTACTAACTTGCACACACTTTGAAATGTTTGATGTAGTCCCATCTGGTAATTTGGCAGCCTTTAAAACACCACAAAAAATAGTCTTCTCACGTGCACTCATTGAAAAACAAGATTTTGCAATCTCTGCACGACCTCCACCAATATCTTTTGGATGAAGCTTCTTTCTTATTCCCATGTCTTTCAAATCATAACGAGCATTAACGTGATCTTTTGTCTTCCCTGGTATGTCTAAAAGAGTTCCAATAATATTATCAAATATATTTTTTCCAATGTGCATCACATCAAGATTATGACGTAATGTATTTTCAGCCCAATAAGGTAACTCAAAAAATATTGATTTTTTCTTCCATGGACCATCTTTTTTCTTCTTTTTTGTTTTACCAAACTCATTCAAAAAATCTTTCAAGGTTTCCAAAATATTTGTCCCTTTTAACAAAGAAGGGGCAGACCTAAGTTCTTTCTTTCCATTAAAGGACCTTTTATTTAACCTTTAAGCATGGCGCATTAATAAAAAAGACACGATGACCCATGTAGCACATCTCATGGCTATTTTTTAAATATGATGATTCTGTGTTATGATTGCAACATGCACATGTAAACTTTCCTTTGGTGCTCCAACCTGATAACATAGCATACCCAGGATAATCACTAATTGTCCATAGGAGTGTTGCACGAATTTTAAATGTTTGATTTTTCGAGGCATCATATGTGTCTACTCCTAATTCCCATAACTCCTTTAACTCCTCAATTAATGGTTGAAGGTACACATCAATGTCATTCCCCGGTGATTGTGGCCCAGGAATCAACAATGACAACATTGTATATTCAAATTTCATGGACAACCAAGGAGGGTAGTTGTATACTACCATCGTGACATGCCATGTACTGTGTGATAAGCTCATGGTCCGGAATGGATTGAAGCCGTCACTTGATAAGCCAAGTCTTATGTTATGAGGCTTAGAAGCAAAGTCATGATGAAGTCTATCAAAATCCCTCCATGCTTGTCCATCCGCAAGATGCCTTAATTTTCCATCTTTTGAGCGTTCTTCTTCATGCCACCTCATTTCCTTTGCTATCTTTGAACACATAAATAACCTTTGAAATCGTGGAATTAATGGAAAATGTCTCAAAACCTTAGCAGGGACTTTATGATCATATTTCACATGCTCAGAAGACTCACTCTCTACTTGAGGAAACTCCTTCCATCGTGAAGCCTTACAAATATTGCAAGAGTTATCATTCTCGTGTTCTTTCCAATATAACATGCAATCATTCGGACATGCATGAATTTTTTTGTAATCGAGACCCAAATCACTAATCATCACCTTTATTTTGTTAAAAGATTCAGGAATGTTCAATTCTGGAATCGCTTCTTTCAACAATTCTAAAAGGGAAGTGAAAGATGCATTGCTCCATCCATGCAGACACTTCAACAAGTAAAGTCGAATTATGAACGATAGAGTAGAGAAGCTTTCATATCCGGGGTATAACTCTTGTTTTGCCTCATTAATCAACTTGTAGAACTTTCTCGCATCCTCATTGTGAGCTTCACTACTTTCCTCTGCTTCAACCACATTTCTAAATGTGTCATACAATAAACCACCAATGTCATCAAGTGAGTTCACTTGCTCTTTTGTGCCCTCCTTAATTTTCATAGGCGATGGTATATCCTCTCCATGGTTTACCCAAACATGATATCCTTTCACAAAACCTACGGCTAATAAATGATCGCGGACCACATGTCTTCTTTCCCATTTACAATTTGCACAATGAGCACAAGGACAAGAAATTTCACGTCCTTGAGGTCTTCTTGTGGTATAGGCAAAATCTAAAAAAGACTTAACACTTTTTCTATACTTCTTCCAGTGTTTTGAGAGTTTAGTCCATGCTTTATCCATACCTTTAGTCTAATTTAATTACAATATTTTAAACATCCATCAATAAATTTATAAACAATAAAATGTATAAACACATAAGGATACACTATTATTTACAAACTAACACAATATTAACACATAAAATAATTTAACTATCAACAAACACAGTATTAACATATTATATAACTAACAACTTAATATCACTATTCACACATAAAACAAACAAGTTCAAACCATTAACTAATCACCTAGTTGTCTAAGCCTAACAGTTAAATGAACCAATTTTACTAACCTCTAACACTCATAACAAAATGCTAACAATTAGCTAACCATAACTATTTTTCAAATGCTATTAACATTCAATTAGCATAACAGTTAACTAACATCTCTAATTCTAACATTTCAACTAACATAACAAATAACCCTCTAACTGTCAGATCACTAACAGTTAACATATTAACTCTAACCTAACATACTAACGGTTACAGTTAGCAAGTTAACTTGATATAACAGTTCAAATTAACTAACATTTTCTAAACTAACCCTACTAATATACTAACTGTCACAGCTCCAATCCACTAACTAACCTAACTATTTTTCAAAATGGCATCAAACTAACTAACTCCAATTAAACAATTAACCAAATTCCATAACAATTAACTAACACAACTAACCAATTCAAATTCCTCACTAACAATTCAATGTCATTAACTACCTCGAGCTACACTTCCAACCAAATTAACATAACTAACCTAATACTTCATTAATAGTTCATTTAATATTCTCACCTAACTGTCACAGTTTTGAACTCATTAACATTCATCTCTAATTCACTAATTGTCAGACTTCAAATGCAATAACTGTCAACTAACAACGTTAACTCTCTAACTGATTTGCTCATGAATTGAATTAACACTAACAGCTGACCTAACACCTAACTGCTTTGCCTTATCTGCCCAAAAACAGTTATGATTTCCCTTCACCTCAATCTTTATACAACAACAGTTCATCCTCAATCTCCTGAGACCACAATCAAATTCACATTGAACAATCAAATTCACATTGAACACTATACAATTCTCTAGCTTTTCGTTGAACAACTGTGCTGTTACGCAGCCCTCCTCCCAAGAGTTTTGCACATTGTCCATATTCTTTCTGAAACTAAGGTGGATGCAGAGATTTGATAGGTGAAACACCTTCATCAACACCATTAGGAGTTTTAAATAGAAATAACAAAGGTCCAATATGGTTTATTTGATAATACTATTTTATTTTGCACTATGCAGGGATTCTGTAAGGACTGGTTTGGATATATTATAAAGATTCATCATCATGGCGACGAAAGGGAACCCGGGAGATAATAGAAATAACAAAGGTCCAATGTCGATTTTCATTGTATTTGCTTTGTGTGGTTTCTTCTATATATTAGGTTTGTGGAAAAGGAGTGGTTTTGGAAAAGGAGACAACATTGCTGTTGAGATTACTAAACATACAGATTGTAGTGTTCTTTCCGATCTAAACTATGAGACTCATCATGGTGGTGAGGCTGGAACAAATGATGATCCAAACGAACCAGTCAAATAGTTCAAGCCTTGTGATGATCGCTTCATTGATTACACGCCTTTCCATGATCAAGCAAGGGCGATGACGTTTCCGCGAGAGAATATGAATTATAGAGAAAGGCATTGTCCTCCTGAAGAAGAGAAATTGCATTGTCTCATAGTTGCTCCTATAGGGTATGCAATGTTGTTTCCTTGGCCTAAGAGTCGCGATTACGTCCCGTATGCAAATGCGCCTTACAAGAGCCTCACAGTTGAGAAGGCTGTGCAGAATTGGATACAGTATGAAGGGAATGTTTTCAGGTTTCCTGGTGGGGGAACTCAATTTCCTCAGGGTATGATGCTTACATTAATCAACTTGCAGCTGTTATTCCATTGGATAATGGGATGGTTAGAACCGCATTAGATACTGGGTGCGGGGTAAGTCAAATCCTACTGAGAAAATATCCTTGTTTTGATATAACAGTTTGTTCAAGTGTCTCTATAGCCGCTATTTGACAACAATTAGTACTAACACATAGCAAAAAACTTAGCTACAAAGTTTAAGTGAAAATATATGATGTTGATATTAAAGACATGGGCCTCATTCTTGGTGGACACTATAGAGAGTTTTGGCAACAACTTCAAATTCATCCTAACCAAAGTTGTATCCATACTTGCTATATTGAGAGACAAAGATTAAACAAGACTCTCATTCTCTCTCTCTCTCTCTCTCTCTCTCTCTCTCTCTCTCTCTCTCTCTCTCTCTCTCTCTCTCTCTCTCTCTCTCTCTCTCTCTCTCTCTCTCTCTCTCTATATATATATATATATATATATATATATATATATATATATATATATATATATATATATATATATATATATATATATATATATATATATATATATATATATATATATATATATATATATATATATATATATATATATATATATATATATATATATATATATATATATATATATATATATATATATATATATATATATATATATCACCATAACCACAACCACAAACACAAACTGAGATACAAAAATAAAGTTATGCTATTTCCTAATTACCATGGCAGAATCACAGTTAGAAATATACAAGTCTTCTAGTGTCAACATCTTCAAAGGATCAATCTTGAATTTTAGGTCTTAACAATAACAACACAAATCAAATTTCAAAAACATTTTGGTACTACTATTCATTATTGCAATTGCTGAGATAAAATATTGAGTTATGATAAAATTGCTATGATGTTTTGGTACTACTATTCTATTAAATATAAGAAGTAAAATACCTGAAAGTGAGAACAATACTGAAATCTGAAATTGAAAGGTTGGGTTTGAGAATGAAAGTCAAATGCAGAACTAAGATTGAGAGTGAATACCCTAGAACAAAAATATGAACATGAAAGATTGAAAATTGCACATTATTATTATTATTTATAAAATTAGAATGAAAAACTTACGTTTGAGAGGTATAAGCAATGGATGAGAGAAGGAAGGACGGTTGGCGGCATGAATGAGGGTGAAAGCTTGCAGAGAGATGAAAAAGTTAGGGTTTAAACAACCCCCACTTTTTAGAAACTATATATGTGGCGCGGATGAAAAATTTAAGTTTTAGAACAAATTAATTAATTAATAACTTTCGGATTAAAATTAAAACCAAATGGCGTTGTTGTTTTGGTGGTAGTGAAGTCTTGCTACAAAGCAAGGGACTTGGGTTCAAGTCCTTGTTTTGCGAGTTTTCTTAAATTAATAGTTTTCTTAAATTAATTTTTCAATCATATTTTCAAGTTTGAGTTCGAGCACTTCAAGGACAGGGGTTTGATCTCCACTCTGTACATTTAATTATATGCAAATAATTAACATTTTCAAAACCACATTTTCAAAACCGTAGCATATAATAAATAAGGGACGGTTTTGAAAAAAAAGTGTTCACACGTAAAAACGTGTAGCCTATGTTACTTATAGGGACAGTTTTACAGTTGTTGTCTATTCCTCCATTGCCTAAAGTCATTTTTGTTGTAGTGCCTGCTTGATTAATTATGATGTTTAACTGTTTTGTTCTTGACTCCAATTGCATGTTCCCTTAGGATCTCCTTGTTCAACTTAATTTCCGATTAAGAATGGAGTAGGATAGATTTTAGGATCTTAATATCTTGCATGACAAATTTAGGGTAGAACCTCCCTTCATCCTCAAATTTAGGACCATCTTTGCATGACAACATTTAGGATACAAACTACTTTAGTTTTTTCTTACTTTTGCATCAAATATTTTCTTGCATCAAAAATCCATAAAAATTTAATAAATATGATGCATGTAGTACGTCACGAGCCTTAAGAACATGAGAAAAGATGAACACAAATATTCCTTACCTCTTCTTAGAGTGGTTTGTATGCGAGACACTTGAATCATTTATGCAAAACATTCGCTCCTATGTCATAGAATTTAATGTAATACGCATCCCAAACTCTTTTAAAAACCCTAACATATAACACTTCAACAAATGCAAATCATGTTGTCCTTCAGGATTTTCTCTCCATTTTTTTTTTCTTTCAAAAAGGGCATGCTATTTCTGTTCTACCATAATACAGGTAATGCATAAGACTCGACGAGCGAGCTACAATACACCTAACTGCTAGAATGCAAATGTTAGCATCATCTATAAAAAACATCAATAAAATATAGTCTGAACTACGGACGCTCTGATTTCTCATACCTGTTGAGAACACATAGGCACAAAGGCCTCAATCCTTGGCGAGCAAACTTCCCATTTTTCACTGTAGTCCTCAAACTACGATTGCTCTAACTTTCCTAGTGTACAAGGAAATACGTAGGCACAGGATTGCAAGATCTTGGTGAGCCCCCTTTATTTTCTTTCTCCTTTTATTTTCCTTTTCATTCACGCATTCCCTTAGAAGTTAAGCTTTAGATTTATACAGCTTTTGATTAGAACAACAAGAGTGGATCCCGTTGAGTTCAATGAACGTGAGAGGTGCTAATATCTTCATCTTGCGTAATTAAGTCCCGGACCCCGAATTTGGTTGAGAGACCATGCTTTTTTCCCTTCTGAGATTTTCTCGATGTTTTTCTTTCCCTATTAGGATAAATAAAGTTCGATGGCGACTTTGTGTCTTCGCCGATTATTTTTCACGTATAGACACATTGTAAACTAGCAGTTCACAAAAAATAATAAATTTGTAATTTGGCAAGACTAGTTAGGTCATCCCGATTATACAATCATGCAAAAAATTATTTAAAATTCACAAGGTCATTGTTGCGATGAAAATTTGATATCAAGCTATTAATTAACTTGAACCTTATTTCTTTTACAACCGGTCTTTAATTTATCCAAAGGATAGGTCTAAAGAAAGAAAGAACCTTTTTTGCGCGATGTGACAACAACGCTTTAGAGATTCGGGGATTCGGGGGTTGGTTATATCTAGGGAAGGTATTAGCACCCTAAATATCTGTAGTACTCTACAGGAACCTTTTCTTCATTTACTTGCTAAGGTTTGTGAATTGTGCACTATGGTTTGAGTTGGGAATAAAAGTAAAATAAAGGCCTAAGTGGTTTTCTAAGTTTGCTCACAAAGGTATCGCACCTTCTGCCTACGTATCCTGACTAGGATAGAATCAGAGCAATCGTAGTTCACCTCACAAGGGAAAAGAACACTTGATGATGATCAAGGTTCAAAGGGGAACAAACATGACGATGTTTGTGTGGAGTTTGACAAAACTCCCTAAACTAAATTGTAAAAGGGGAAAGTAAGAAATCATGACGATGATTCTTACACAGAGTTGACGAACTCTTTCCTAGGGTTCTAGTTGAAGAACACTCCTAGTATGGGTGGGTTTCTTAGACTTCAAGCAAAGTCTAAAGGCTTCTAGTCTAGGGTTAAGGTGACTTAACGAAGTCAAGGGATAGCAGAGATTTTGGTCCAAGACATTGACAGTCAAGTGGACAGACCTTCCTTTGGAGGAACAGTATTGTCGGCAACTGGACGAAAGCTAACGAGCTCCGTCGCTTAGGGATAAAATAAAATACAAACATCGTTCAAACATTCATGGTGACAACCAATACAAAGATTAAAGATGGAAAGCAATGATGACAATCAGAGCAATTGTTTTGGTACGAGAACCGTGACGACAGTTCGCACCTGGAGTACTGTTAACAAACAGATGAGGTAAACATGATAATAATTCAATGTAAAAATTCTAACATGTTGACAAACATATATAGACATGATAACAATCAATTTTCCTGAGAAAACACAAGAGGAAACCTTTTAAATTTCATCTGCAACCAAATAGGGTTAGTACCGTTGACGCGCGGATTGTGCACAATCAAACGTGGTGAAAAAATAATCAAACATGGAAAATAAAATTATGACATGAAAGTACACATTAAAATAAACACAATGAAAAAAGAACGGGTGAAAAACGATAAAAAATGAGAGAGTTACGAATTTTTGAAGTTTATGTACAAAATAGGAAAAAATAATAAAAGGGTTCAACCTCCACCCGGATCGAACCCTGGTCATGATGGTGAAAGGTATAATTGCGCGCATGTTCTTACCGCTGGGGCGGCTGTTACATCCATTAATCAAATGGAAACAATATGTATACAAGGCTGATTTTGAATCATGGCTGGGCAAAATACATAATCAACACCAAATACGTTTTATACCGTATCTCACTAACCGCTTATCGGATCGAGACAAATTTTATATGTAAATTGGGTAGAAAAATGAGAGGAAGAAGATGGCATAGGTGGTTTTTACAAATTGTTCACCTAGTGAAAAAAAAGATGACTGGTGTGTGTGTGTGTTTGAATGCATAATGACATGGAAACATAATCGAAACCAAATACGTTTTATACCGTATCTCACTAACCGCTCATCGGATCGGGACAAATTTTATATGTAAATTGGGTAGAAAAATGAGAGGAAGAAGATGGCATAGGTGGTTTTTTGAAATTCACTTTCCTGTGAAAAAAACGATAGCTGGTGTGAATTTCATGGTTTTAAGCT